CGGGGCTGCAGGTGGGCGCGGGGCTGGGCCCGGGGGTGCGGGGCGGTCGGAGCTGTGGGGGGGTGGGAAGCTGGGACCGGTCCGACGTGTGTCCCCTCCCGCAGCCGGCCGAGTTCCTGCGGGGCCCCGCGGGTCGCATCCAGCTGCTGCACGGCACCACCACGCTGGCCTTCAAGTTCCAGCACGGCGTGGTTGTGGCCACCGACTCCCGGGCCTCGTCTGGGAGCTACATCTGTGAGCTGCTTCGTGCCCCTGACCTTGTCCCTGCCCCTGGGGTGCCCCTATCCCCACTGCAGCGCCCTTGGGCTGGCATCCTTCCCCCATGCAGCCCCAGGCCTGCCAGGGCTCCCCTCAGGCTCTGGAGGCTGCCCCACATACTGGGCTCAGGGGTCACAGTGCTCCCTGGCCTGGCCACGTTGCCCAGCTGTTCCCTGCTTCATAAGCCGGTCCCTGCTCCATCCCATCGTCCTATGGAGGGAAGTGTCACTTGCAAACCCAGGGCAGTGGGTCTGCTCTGTTCAGCACTGGGGAGGCCTCTCCTGGAGTCCTGAGTCCGGTGTGGGGCCCTGCACTTCTAGAAGGATGGGGGCAGATGGGAAACAAAGTGACCGACAGGAGCAGGGGCCTGGGAGGCAGGAAGGATGGTCGGGAAAGAGCTCTGAGGACCGAGGCTGGAGAAGAGAAGGGGGAGGGGGTGATCACAGTCAGAAATCCCCGAAGGACAGTGACAGAGAGGATGGAGATGGGCTTTTCCCTGTGGCCACAGAGGACCAAAATGAGAGCAATGGCCTCCAGCTGCAGCAGGGGAAACTGAGGCTGAAGAGGAGGATGAACATCCTGACTCTGGGGGTAGTCAAGCAATGGGCCAGGCTGCCCAGAGACACACTACAGTCTCCATCCCTGGAGTTGCCAATGGCAGGCTGGACCAACACATGGCTGGGGTGGTTTAGGCAGGGGTGATGTTGCCCTGAGCCGGGGGCTGGACTGGATGTAACCTGGGAAGGTCCCTTCCGGCCTGACTTTCCTGTGATCTCCCTGGTAGTCTTTACTTCCTCAGAGGCACTCTTCCATCCATCCACCCACCCACTGACTCCCTCCCTTCATCCATCCATCCATCCACCCATCCACATGGGCCCAATCTTATTTCCCACACCCCAAACTGGGCTTGCCCACAGGGTCCTTATAAGGGGGGGAGGAGGGAGCCCCACTGACAGCCCTGCCCTGACTCCCTGCAGCCACCCTGCAGTTCAACAAGGTGATCGAGATCAACCCCTACCTTCTGGGCACCATGTCGGGCAGCGCCGCCGACTGCCAATACTGGGAGCGGCTCCCTCCCCAACACGGCAGGGAATCCCCGCGGGTGGGCGGTTCGCCGCGGCCTGCCAATACTGGGAGCGGCTCCTTGCCAAACACTGCAGGTGATCCCAGCGGGTGGGCGGCTTGTTGGGTATGAGGGGGTGGGGGTGGGGAAGAGACCAGGAGATGGGGAAGGGAGGCTGTGTGGGCTGTGGTGGGGGGTTAAGGGGCATTCAGGGTGCTGCAGTATTGGGGAGGATCTTGGGCACAGGAAGGAGGTGTGGTGTGCGTGGGGTCCGCAGGTACTTACTCCTCTCCCTCTCCAGGCTCTACGCACTGCGCAACAATGAGCGGATCAGCGTTTCAGCTGCTTCCAAGCTGCTGGCCAACATGCTGGGCGAGTACCGTGGCATGGGGCTGTCCGTGGGCAGCATGATCTGTGGCTGGGACAAGAAGGTGCCTACAAGGGTCCCCCCACCCTGCAGCCTCACCCCCCAGGGGAACACCCAGCCACTGCCCTGCCCTGCCCATGTCCCTCTGGTTGGCAGTGACCTGAGACCTCGGCCCCACCAGGCTCCCTGAACCCACTGCCTGGTTACCTCGCCAGCTCTCAGCCCCTCACTCCCTGTCCATGGAGCCCCAGCCCAGCCCTTCCCCCTGTCCCTGTCCCCATCCCTTAACCCCTGTCCCTGCCCCCAGCCCCCTCTCATCATCTCTCCAATCCATTTGCAGGGCCCCGGGCTGTACTACGTGGATGACAATGGGACCCGCCTCTCCGGCCCCATGTTCTCCACGGGCAGTGGGAATACTTACGCCTATGGGGTTCTGGATAGTGGCTACCGACCCGACCTCACTGTGGAGGAGGCCTATGCCCTGGCCCGTCGCGCCATCGCCTATGCCACCCACCGCGACTCCTACTCTGGGGGCGTTGTCAATAGTAAGGGCCCAGTGACTGCTTCAGGGGGCTGAGCTTCCCCTCCCCATCCCAGACACCCGGGTCTACTCCTGGGGGGTGAGCATGTGGGGCTATGAGCTTGGGTGGACAGATCCCATTCCCCAAGGGACAGGAGTATCACAGGGGCTTCTGGAGTGCTCCATCCTGGATGCCTGCATCCCTACCTGTATTCCACCCCATGCCCCCTCAAAATTGGGGCTGCAGCCATACTCTGTGGTCCCTATTCCTGGCGTGGGAGTGCTGTAGGGCCCCCTGTGAGGTGAGTACCCTGCCCTGGCTTTCCAGACACCTGGGTCTCATCGCCTTCCTGGTCTCAGCCTTCTTATCCCACTCACCCAGCGCTGCCCTCTGCTAGCTTCCCCCTCACCCTCCCATGTCCCCCCCCAGTGTATCACATGAAGGAGGATGGCTGGATTCGGGTGGGACGGACAGATGTCAGCGACCTGCTGCATGCCTACACAGAGGCCAAGCAATGAGATGAGACTGGACCAGGATCCGACCCAGGATCAGGGAGCAACAAGACTCAGGACCACGGCAATGAAGGAGGATGGGGTAGTGGGGGGAATGGGGTCAGTGACACCCCAATGTGTTCTGGTGCCTGACCAAATAAACTTGAACTAAACCCGCTGTGGCCTTGGGCGCTGAGTTTGTGAGTCATGTCAGGGGTGCTAGGGGGTGGTTGAGAGCTGGCTTTGTCTCCGAGGGGCAGTGTAGTCACAAAGCTAGAGACCCCTGGTTAAAGCCCCCCTTTATGTGGGGATGAGGAGATACTGGAATGGTCAGCCAGCTCTGGGTGGGATGCATGAGGCATGGGGCAGGGCGTGACGATGGGGACACCCGGATGGAAGGGGGAGAGGGGGCATTGGCTAGGTGGGTTGTATTTAGATGGGTTGTATTAAAGCCAGGCCCTTAAGTCACAGCTCTTATCCAACTGTGAGAAACCTCGCTGGGAGTCATACATCATCACTAGCTTTTCTCTTGGCTGGTGGGTCAGACAGGGGTGTTCCCATGGGGGCCACAGTCAGGACACTTTGGGGACTGACAGAAACTGAGGAATGGTCTTTCCCTCAACTCCCAGACAATGGGCTTGATGCTCGCTGGGGCAGTAACAGGAATTTCATTGTGATGGGGTTCTCCTGGGGACATCCCCTGAGTGTGTGTCCACAGCATCATGCCCTGAGCACAGGACAGGACCAAGCTTGCTGCTGTTCTAGAGTCTGGGCTTCAAGGGAAGAGGTTTTCTCTCCTTACTCTATAGACAAGCAGCCAGGAAACCCAGAGCTATTGACAGAAGCACCAGCAATCAGTGCACTTACAGCTCAGGTTGGCCTTTGGGAAGATTGCAACAAAACAATATATAGTTTTGGATTAAACTCAGCTGTCACATTAAACAGTTTGCCCCTCCCCCCCTTCCCCAGCCCCAAACTGCCTTAAAACAAAATTGAAAACCCAGATGTAAATATACCAAACCAATTTCAATTACAAAAATGGAATTGGTATATAGTTTTAAAAAATCATTTGTATTTTTCAGTTCTGGTAGGGAGAGAGGTTGATGGGTTGCCAGGAAGAGCTAGAAAGGTAGGGTGGGTACGGAGTGGATAGATGGAGGGATGGATGACTGGGTGGATGGATGAACAAACTGAATGGATGGGCAGATGGATGGATGCATGGATGGTTGGGTGAATGGATGGATGAATGGGCAGACAGGTGGGCAGATGGATGGGTGGGTGAATGGATGGACATGAATGAGGGGTGGGTGGGTGCATGGATGGCCAGGTGGATGCATGGATTTATGGATGGGTGGACAGATCCATGAATGTGAATTGAAGGCTAAGGGCGGGCAGCTAGGTGGCTGGCCCGGGGAATAGCTATGGGGATGGATGGTCTCTAAAAGACCTCCCCCCGCCGGCTTTCCCCGTTTCCCAGGCCAGCTCACCCGGTGTTTATTTCTCTCCCCTCTGCCTGGCTTTTCCCACCCTCTGCCCCCCCCAATCCCCGCCCGACTCCAGCCCCTGCCCCCTCCGCCCCTCCAGGCAGGAGCGCTGAGCCCGGCCCCTGCGTCCCGGGCGCAGGAGGGGCCGCGCCAGGGGCTCGGGGGCCCGAGGCCGG